TGTAAGAGTGTTCCTGTCTCTCCACATCCTCGCCAGCATTTGTTGTTTTGGGATTTCTTGACACAGGCCAATCTCACTGGGGTTAGATGATATCTCATTGTGGTTTTGATTTGCATTTCTCTAATGATTAGAGATGTTGGGCATTTTTTTATATGTTTGCTGCCCATTATTCTGTCTTCTTTGGAAAAGTTTCTGTTCATTTCCATTGCCCATTTCTTGATGAGATTGTTTGATTTTTTCTTGTTAATTCTTTTTATATTGATAGTAAAACTCTGTAAGCTTTATTACAGTATTATTATTTCAACTGAATAATATAATAATTAAAATAATCCCATAGAATTAACACAAAAAAATTTAAATAACAAGAGTTCAGTAAAATAAGTCGCTACATTATAAACATTCAAGGTTCAGTAGTTAAAAAATTGAAGGAGAAATATATGATCAACCTTAATAAATACAGAAAATGCAGTTAATAAAATTTAGAATCATTCATTTAGAAAAAACTCTACAGAGATAGAAAGGAATGTCATTAACATATAATTGAAATGCTACAGAAAATATTATACTTAATGGTAAAACATTAAAAGCTTTCCTTTGTAATCAGGAACAAACCAAAAATACTCACTATCACCACTTCCATTTAACATTGAACTAGAGGTCTTAGCAGTGTGAAGGGTGACGGATAACATGACTAACATGACAGTGTGCATACAAATTTCAAAAGAATATAGACATATTGTTAGAATTAATGAGATTTAAAAATTTACTCATATATTATCAAGAATTACTTAAAATAAAATTTAAGAAAGATAGCATTTATAATGTACTATACAAAATTATGCACAACCAAAGAATAACTCCAACAAAAAAAAGTATGCAAGGCCTCCACAAAGAAAATTCTAAAATTATATGGACAGATGTAAAATAAGACCTAACTAAATAGAAGAACAGCATACCATGTTTGTGGGCTGAATGTCTCAATAATGTAGAGATGTAAATACTCCTTGAATTGATTTACAGTTTCAATGCAATATGACTCAAAATCCTTACACATTTATTTTGTGTATGGATGAACTAGATAAGCAGATTCTAAAATATATTTGGGAAGTCAAAGGGCCTAGAATAGTGAAGAATCCCCTAAAGAAGAATGAGGTAAAGAATACTTTCTTCTGGATTTCAGATGTATTATAAAGTTCCAGCTATTTAAAGTATTAATAATATAATATTGACACTGAGACAGACAAATAGGCAAATGCAACAAAATGAGGAGGCCAGAAACAGGTTTATACATATACTTGTATCCTTGGTATTGGATACAACAAAGTTGTATAGTAAGAAAGAAGGTCTTTGCAATTTAAAAAAAATGGTTCCATTAATCATTGTGCATCTATAATTTGAGCAACTATGTAGCCATTAAAAAATATGAGTCAATGCTATGATCTGCATTAGAAAAATTATTCATTCATTCAACAAATATTTTGAGGCCACTTACTATTATGCACCAGTTACTATAAAATTTTTCTTACCAAATATATTACTAAGTTAAAAAAATTACAATATTACATAAAACTGTGATTTTTTCTCTAAGTCCCATTTGATACATCAAAGTCCTTATGAAATTGTGCCTCTTTTATCTCTCTGATTCCCTTCCTTCTCTCCTCACTTTGTGTCAGCCACATTGCTGTTCTTTACGGTTCATGAAACACTCTAGTCATTCATCTCCCTCTGGGCTTCTGGTCTAGCTGTTGCTTCTGCCTAAAATGTGCCTCATCAAAAATTCCCATGATGTATTTTCTTGGGAAATTAAGGTCTTTGCCAAATCATTCAACTCATCTTTTTAATGAGACTATACCTGATTATACTATTTAAAACTGCGACATTATTAACTTCCCTTTGTATTCCTTCTCCCCACTTCCTATTTTATTTTCCTTTATAGCACATATTGCTTTCTCAAATCCGATAGTTTTACTTGATTATTTATTTATCTGAATTTCATATTTTGTAAACCCTGTAAGGGCAAAGACTTGTGTGTCTTTTGTTCATTGCTATATCCCATTACTAGAATAGCACCTGGTATGTAGTAGGAGTAAATACAGTGTGTGTGTGTGTGTGTGTGTGTGTGTGTGTGTGTGTGTGTGTATCTGTGTTTGCATATCTGTGTATTTACATAAATGTACAGAGAAAGCTCAAAAAGAATAACACCAAACTATTTCTGGGGAGAAGCACTTTCCTCTCATGGAGGAAAAAGAGAATCTTTCAAATTTTACTTTACATTTTTCTGTGTTGCTTGAATTCTATATTATAAAAAGCCAAGATTTTTCATGTCCCTAAATCTCTTCCATAAAACAGACAGATCAACTAAGATAGCAAAATCCAAAAGTTTAGACGACATCTACAACAAAACTAGGTAACAAGGTACACCCAAGAACCGTAAAATATTAATACAAGCAGGTGGAGGCAAACCATTAATAGTTACAAGACCTATGTGGTATCAGCATCTGTATGGGAGGAAGCCAAAGGAAACCACAGGTCATCTGACTGCACTGAGAACAATACTCCAACAGTCAATAGATCCTCATAAGAAGCTGAGCAGGACAATTTGAGAAGAGCAGCTGAAACCTGAAGGGATTGTTGCACATTCAAATTGTGTTGCACATTCAAAGGTGAGGGTTCTATGGTACATCTGAAATGATTAGGGCAGTCTATGAACTCTCAAAGGTAACTGGAACTCCCTTCCCAGAAAATGTCTCACATTGATGAAAAACTGTTGAGCCTATGATCCAAATTAAGCGTACAAGAGATAATAGGAACAAAGGGAAAATCAAAGTCCAAAAAAATTAGGAGGGAGGAGATCAAAGGAGGCCTATCTCAGAGAGATGTAACCATATGTTTTTGATGTAATGTCAACAGAAAAGGAAATCCCAGATCCTAGAAAATCCTCTACTCCATCCTGAAAGTTCAAGAATTCTAATTTTATGTTTAAATGAGCAAGTAAAATAGACCATGGTTGAATGACATACAAAATTATATGGCATTATTATAACATTGTTATAACAATGTTATAACATTATAACATTATTATAACAAATTATAACAAGAAAAACAGAAACAAGATACAAAATAATATCTCTACGATAAAAATATGCCAGAAAGACATGCCTACCAAAAGGACAAACTGTATGCCTATATTTCAAATTGAACTAAAAGAAATCAGAAAATGATAAAGAGATGAAGGAATAGGATAGACCACAATTAGGAAAACTCAGAAACAAGGAAACTAAACCCAAATAAGGATTGGAAATAAAAGAAAACATAGTTTATAATTTAAAAATTATAAACTAGAAAGAACACAGGAGTAAATAAACACAACACAGCACATAATGCCTTGAGAGAAAAAGATGAAAACAGGGAGGACTTTTAAAATAGAAAAGAAATGAAGAAATAGAAAAGACAATGAAGATCTAGCATACATATAATAAAAGTCCCTGAATAAAGCCAAAATAATATATTAAAACTGTATCAATGCTAAATTATACATTTAATATTTTGATACTAATATCATAATTTAAGAAAAATTTTCCAAAATAATGAAGACTCAAAATTACATATTGAAAGGGCATAGTGCATATTCAGAAAAATTACCCAGAATAACAAATACTGAAACGTATTTTAGAAAAATTATTGGACTTTGAAGAAAAAGAAATTTCCTTTAAATATCTAGGCAAATAGACCAACTCACTTATCTGGGAAAGTTTACTGTATCGTCAGAGTTTTGGACAGTAGCCCTTCATTGTGGAAGAAGATGGAATAAATATCTTTATTACATCAAAGAATAATGTTGTATCCAGACAAACTGACTTTCAAGTAAAAAAGTCACAAACTCTTGTCAACATGCAAAAACTCAGAAACTTATTTCCTTGAGCACTTACTGGAGATTTTACTAGAGAATGAATTTCAGATAATCAAGTGACTGAGGAGATGTGAACATAGGACTAGTAGAGAGTTTATGATTAAATGAAGGTTAGCAAAGAAATTGTATAGTGTGTATAGTATGCACGCTATATGATGTAGATAGAATAGCGCTATAAAAAAATAGAAGTGAAGCACACATGAAAAGTAGAATAAGCATGCTCTTTGCTTTACAGAACTAACTGAGATTAAAAGGGTGATACAATACTGGAGAAGAGGGGACAAACACAGGTATGAAAGAAGCTACTAGCTAATTTCAATGTTGCTCTTAGTAGGGAATGCATAGAAAATAGCCAAAAAAAAAGAAGAGATAAAAGAAATTATATAAAAACATGGTTATATCATTAGATGCAAACTTTCTTAACTAAAAAGTCCCTAAAAACAGAGATGCCAAAAAACAAAAACAAAAAAAACCAACCAAAACACAAACAAAAAAAGACCACAGAGTAAAACAAAATTTCACATAAAATATGTGTATATTAAACACAATATTATCACATGCTACGTTTTTCCTGAGATAATTGGGAAACACAAATACACACAAAAATGAAATTAAAATTAAAAATTAAATGATGAAAGTTGAGCCATAATTTTTAAAACTGTTGAAATATAGAAGGAAGGAAATAGGGCACAGAGTATGGAAATGGTTGCTAGGCTTCTTCGAATATACATTATTTTGTAGATTTAAATTCTGGAATTATTAAATATTTTAAATAATTATAAACTAGAATTTAATAGAAAAAGCGATCCATAAAAATATACAACCAAATAAAACAAGCCTAAAATAAGTAAAAATATAATATTGCAATTAGTTTTATAGTTCATCACAAGACTTTCTGGTATATTTGTTAGCAACTCCAGATGTGAACTTGAAGTATATAAATAATATTTAACAGTTGAACTCCAAATAAACATACACAGTTCTTGGCTTTCCCTCCCCACAATTAACAAACACAAGGAAATAGATCATAAATGAAATGATTCAATGCAAGGAAATGTTACTCACTATCTTTTCTTTGTCATTTCTCTAGGAAAATAAAGGAAAGTCTGGAGTGTTTCCCTGTTAAATTGAATAACTTGATCCACACACTTGCACAAATGTCAACCATAAGCCCTGCCAAATCTACTTCCCAGACTTTTCCCCAGGAATCCTGTTTGCTGAGTACAACCAGGTCAATTCAAAGAGCAACAATTTTAGGGTTCAGCAAGAAACCCAGCAATGTAAGTCTAAAGTCTGTCGTCTTGACTTAAATATTATTTGACTTCACCTCAGACTTCCCTTTACCATGCTACATATTTTTTTTTCTATAGCGTGATTTTTTTTTTACTATGCAAATGAAAAATCGGTTACACTTGAAGCAGAAGTGCCATTAAGAGAATGTTCTAAGGAAAAAAATCATAACAGCAAGAGCTATTAGTAGAGAACCATCAAAGAGAACAGTTCCTGCCCTGTGGTAGAAGACAAATTAAGAGCTAATTAAAGTGTCCACAAGAAAAGAACAGCAGAAATTAGGCAGTCTGTTTCCAGCGCATAAGATTATGATATCTTTGTACATTGTGTTTACAGGTAATTTTGCCTCTACAAATTGCATCTCGTAGCTGTAGTGCTAATTTTCTTGCAAAAAGGTTCTTGCTTTGTAGAGTTTCTATGAAATCAGATTTTACAATGTATTACAAGTTGACATTGCTGTCTTTTGATTTTTGTCTATTTGCATTCTGCAGCTGTATCTGATCCAAGTGACACACAGTAACAATGAAACAAGCCTGACAGAAAAATCATTTGACCAGTTTTCAAAACTTCACAGCCAACTTCAGAGGCAGTTTCCATCATTGACTCTCCCAGAGTAAGCCATTGTCCTTTCACATTGTTTTGCCTCCAGTATTTGTCCTTGAGCAAAAGAAAAAATTATGGTTATGAGATTTTCTATTTGCGAGGAACACAGTATTCTGACTCCCTTGCCACTGAAACTATCCCAGCAGAGTCTGCATTGCTCTCAGAGCAAAGAATCCTTTGTCTCATAAAACAGAACAAGGTTTGCAATTTTCTTTTTACTTCCAGTTATTGATTTTGTAGACAGAAAAATTTAAAAGCTATTTCATTTTTCATCAATTATTGGGGAAATTGTCTAATTTGCCTGTTTTAAAATTTAATTCTCTTTGTTTTTTTCTATAACAATACAATTGAAATTGAAAATGCAAATCAAACTGGATATATCTACTCTTTCAACAAGTACCTATAATAAAAAGCTCTCATCTATTGAATTTCTGGACCAAAAACATTTTTAAATGCATTAATGCCAAATAGTAAATTAATAACTCACTTTTGCTGTCATTAATTATCGATTTTTTAATTCTTATAAACCTTGTATTATCTAAATTTAATTTCTTACTATGTTCATTTTAAACCCATCTTGAAAATTGTGGTTTCCATTCATGTTATAATGGAAAAACTATTAAACATAAGCAAACAACACATATCATAAAATTAACTACTGTTCAAATAAACCTTCTAAAATTCATCACTTAGAACAAAATTTAGATCATAGACTTCAGTTCATACCAAAGATGTATCTTGATTTGAAAAAGGTGAGCTTTCCAGAAATTATGATATTGGCATTTAGATAAATCTAATGTTATTTTATGCACAGTGGGATTTTTGTTAAGTAAATGATCCTTTTGCAATGTAAATGTACATACTTTACCTTCCACACTTTGTACATGTGGGTTTGTACTTGGCATTCAGGTTTAGTCACCTTCCAAAGTATAAATAGAAACAACACTATCAAGAGATGAAGAGATATTGTGCAGTATTGAAAACTGAGTAGTTCACATTCATGAAAAAAAGCTGTATTGGCAGATGTCATAGAGATTTTGAAATACTGATACTTTAAACATCAAGAAGTCATGAGATTAGAGTGATTACAGTGAGAGCATGTTCAAGAGACTGAGAAAGAGATAAAGTCATTCTGGAAACATTTAGAAGTAACATCAGGTTTAAGAATTATCAAAAAACATCTGATAGAATAACTTAGAAAAAAGGCACAGGCAAAAAAAATCAAAGTTTGGCTGCACATACTGAATTCAACACCAGTGGTTGCCATCATGTCCTACTAATTAATAAAAGTCTAAATTAATTCTTGTTTAATGGCTGCTCTTTTTTGTTTTTTTAAAAAAAATGTCTCTGTTCTACACTCTACCTCTCCCACACATACCGGTATAATTTATAAACCTTTAAAACTGCTAATAATCTCTCCCCACAGGTCTCTTCTCAATTTCAGCTTTCGTTAGGATTCTGCTTTGCTCACCACTGCTGCCTGGCAATGGTACCTAAATTGATTTTCAAACTATGTAAGCAATCTGTGGAGGCGAGGAACATTTTAGTCCTATGTGCCCTGAACACTGTTTGTATCCCCATATTCCCAAAGCGGCCAAGGCTTACAGAGATGCAGATACATGAAGGATGAAGGCAAGATTTCCTCTGACTCCTAAATTTACTGAGAGAAGACCTATGAGAGTTATGTAAATCCGATCTGGAAAATAAGATCAGAAAGTCAGAGTCATGAAGAATAAAATTCTAATTAGTCCTAGCATGTAACAGTGGTCTTCTAATCGGGCTGTTGGTACTTCCAGGTACCATCCATCCCAGGGTACGCAGACATGAAAATATCTCTTAAAATTAATAATCTTTTTAGAAATTAATCTGCTTGAGGAGAGTTGACTTTCTTTCCCTCTTCTGCTTTCACCATTGCTCTTCCAGACAAAGGTGCAAACCAAAATATTGGTGTTGGTATGGAGAAAATAAATTACTCTAATAGGCACAGTATCAAATCTATTTGCAAGTCCAGTGTTTTATAATCTTCATTTTGAACAAAATGGAGTGAGGACATGGTGGCACTGTCAGATAAAAGATCATGAAATAGAATTTTCTATAACTGATTGCTGTGTTCTATTTAGCATATAGTTCAAAAAATTTCAAATAATTAAACTACAGCAAAATTCCTCAAATGTCATTTACTTATTTTTACATAAGATGTTTTAGTACATATATCTATAAAAACATTAACAAAGGAATAGAATTGATGATGAGTTCTGTTTTATTCTACCAATAAGGGAAATTCAGACACAGATATATGAATTAATATTTCCAACCAGCCTAATGCATCATTTATCAAATTCATTTCCCCCAAAAAGCTACCTTACATATATATTTAATAAATGTATATTCTATTTAATATTTTTAAATTGTGTATTGGTATTCATTTTCATGATAACTAAATCTGGATGAAAAATTGTAGTACTTTAAGTCTTAGAGCTGCAAGAAATTTTTAGAAAAATAAAATGTTAATTAGTTAAATATACACACATAGAATTTTGGACTTCCCTGACATTTCTAGCAGGAACCAGTGAGTGGGGTGGGGATGAAATTGTCACAATCTTCTGTGCTTTGGCTGACAGCCCTTCACTATTCCCACATTTATTTCCCCTGGAAGAATGGTAGCCAGCCTTGGTCTCTACCAAAGAAGCAGATACAGGGATAAGGCAACAGTAAGACTGCAGTCAGAGGAAGCTGTTCAGTAGTTCCTAAAAAGACATATTTAAATAGCAACATGTGTTGCCAAATGCTACCCATTAGCAGGTCATCTCACCCAGTAACTGGTCTTAATCAAGTTCTGTTCATCAAGACGAACCATCAGATAATGCAGAGGAAATTCTCCAAGTCAGACTCTTGGGGAAAGTGTCACTTTGTTCCAAAAGACTAAGACCAGATGGAAGCATATGTCACTTCATAAAATATTTAATTTAGTTAGTGTAACAATGTCTCTAGTGAACCCAGAAGAAACAATGCAAGCTGAATTTTTTGAAAAATTATGAATCATTAACTTCAGAAAGTATTAAACCCCCACACGTGTTTAAAGGACAAAATGTGTGGTCTGCCATAAATACAGTAAGAAGGGAAATATAAATTAATTTAATATGTTAAATTAAATTAGTATTAATATTAATGACAGTTAAAATAGCATGAGTGACCACAGCCATGTTAATGAAACTCATAGACTATCTGATCTACAAATCACATGTTTTCAATTGTGGTCAAATGTTTCCATTGGCAACTTCCACCTAATGTAGCTATAACTTCATGAACAATGCTAAGATGCAGAGGCCAATTTTCAAACTAATGAAGGAATACTTTTTTCTTTTAAAACAGGTTTCCTCACTGGTGGCACTTACCATTTACAAATTCAGATCACAAAAGATTCGGAGATCTAAATCATTACACGAAAGAGTTATTAAATGGATCATACGAAGTTGCAAACGTACGTTACAATTTATTTTTATATTTTTACAGGAGATATAAATTATTTTATATGTTGTTACTGGACATATTTAAGACTATTTTATGGTAACGTTCTTCGATTCATTCATTCAATGAATATGTATGCCTAGTATATGTAAAACCCATGAAAGTGGGAACCGCAGAGCAGCAAAAAAAGGTCTAGAACCTCAGCCTCAAATAATGTCAAAGAAATGATACGTGATAAGTGGGCTATCGGCGCTTCCAAGCACTCTAAAGTTTTAGAGGAGTAAGAATCATTTCCAACTATGATAAGCAGAAGGTTTGGAGGAGAAGAGAACACCTGAGCTAGGCCTTTAACTTTGGGTAGATTTAATAGAGGTAGCCTGAGAAGTGTTTCAAGTAGAACCAAATGGTATAGGGAAGGTCATGAATGAGAAAAAAAAAAAAAAGAAAGAAATTGTATTTAAAAAAATCTATTTATTGCTGCTGTGATAAATTACTACACACTTGGTGGCTGTAAACAGCACAAATCTATTTTCCTTCTGTCTGAAATACAGAAGTCTGAAAATGGGTCTTGCAGGACTGAAATCAAAGTGTTGGTGGGCTGGTTCTTTATGAAACCTTTTTGACTTACAGAGGCTGCCTGCTTTCCTTGGCTTGTGGCTCCCCTCCAGCAATGCAGTGGCACACTCTGACCTTGCTTCTGTGGTCAGATCTTCTCTGGCTCTAACTCTCACCCTCCCACCTTCTTTTCAGAAAGGCCCTAGTGATTACACTGGGCCCTGCTGGATCATCCAAGATAATCTCACCATCTCAAGATTCTTAATTGGATTTTATGTGTAAAGTCTCCTTTGTTGTGTAAACGTAACATATTCATAGTTTCCAGAGATTAGAAAATCTTTGGGGGGGTCCTTACTCTACTTATCACAAGGATATAAGAAAAAGGACACAATTCTGTATTCTTTGTAAGAGTTTGGAGGCCAAGCCAAGTTGTTAATAACTAAAGCTAAGCCTTAGAGAGTTGTGTTAGTCAGTGTTCTCCAAAGAAACAGAACCAAGAAGGTGCGGGCATGTTTGTGTGTGTGTATGTGTGTGTGTAGCTAATCCACATATCTTGAATAACTTGAATGTTACCACTGATAGCCTATTTCTAATATTAATCCTACTAGTCAACAAGCCATCATTTTTATAAATAAAAACTCATCTCTGACATTCAATATGCTAGTTAATAAAATGCTCATTGTTAATTGAATTATAAGTGAATGACAGAAGCACATGTATGGACTGTCTCTAGAATGGGCTTCATGATTGGAATACTGCAAACACTCTCTTCCTTCCTTCCCCATTCCACTGCCCCCAACTTGCACCCTTGATCCTACATTAGGACATTAACAGACCATTCCTGGACTCTGCAGTCTTGATTAAATGCCAGCAGCACTTGGATTATACCTTGACTTAAAATATATATATATATATAAAATATCATGCTGTACATGCAGACATATTCCAAAGTGAATTACAGACATTATAACAGTAAGACAACAACTAACCCCATAACTAGAACTTACTAAAAGGACAAACAGCTCTATTTTTCTCAGCTGTCAATTTAACAACCTTTCCTCTCCACTTGGATCTTGGAAGGCTTTAGATGTGATTATTTCTCCACTCATAGTTTCAATTTCTTTAATTAAATTCCATATAATAGATTGAATCAGTACATATCAAGAAAACTTACTGAAATTAAAAAATATAACATACATACATTCAAAATCGCCTTTTAACTGTAAAGTACACTTACTGATTCAGTACATTGGCTTTTTGCTGTGTCTCCTACTTGGGTAATATTGTGGTTTGATGATAGATAGACTCAATTAAAGAAGAAAATTCCATAATTCGGGTGTTAAGTGTCCTAAGGACTACTAGAGAAAACCTGAGTTGTCAATAATGACTGCATTGGATTGCACATGGTATGGAGCAAATGGTGAAAGTTTTATATCCCCTTCACCAGTTACTAAGACAAGTGGTTCTCAAATTATGATTCCTGTACTGTGCTGGGAACCTCATTTTGAAATTCATAAGAATATAAATAGCCCCATCCTAGATCTACCAAATCAGAAACTCTGGGACTGGGACGCAGCAATCTGTGTTTTAACAAGTCCTCCAGAAGATTTTGATGCACACTAATGTTTGAGAACTATTTTAGGCTATAAAAATCTTCCCATTTATTTTTCAGTATGGACATGCTCAGTCATTTGGCCTCCAAGATAGCAGATACTCAAGTATCCTGCTATATTATCGGTTCTTAGCAAATGTGGACTTAAGAACATTGCACCGCAATATTATCTCGTGGCTGGTAGACTCTCAGCGGGAGATGCTGCTTTGTATCAAAGGACAAGTGCCTCAGCACTTAAGGAGGTATACTTAACTCAGTTCCAAGTGAGTTAGAGAAGGCATCCTAGAGGATCTTGTATTCAAGTTGATATTAAAGGGCAAGTAGCAGCTGGTAAATAGAATCAAGAAAACTCCTGCTAGACAAACAGAGCTGCAAAAACAAAACATCATGGTTACATGCTTTCTCCTATTTGGAAACTTAAAGAACTCAATGACTATATGCTTTTCTATTTTTGCCTCACACCTAGCACAATTACTAAACTCTTATCCATGTTTACTAAATATTTTTAATGAATAAATGAATGATGACAGAATCATTAGCATGTATTAGCCTCTGATAAGATTTATGTTGCTATCTGAAACCTAAGGGATTGAAAGATTGCATCTGAGAAGTGTTTAGCTGTGGTCTCTAAACTCATTTATCCATATATCTTATTCAATTTCTTTTTAAATAGCTCATGCTTCCAAAATATATAATTTATTTATATATGTTTGATACATATACTACTATACAAATGGTGATAAAAATTATAGGAAAATAGAAAACTTAGAAAAATTTTTGGATGATACCACAAAATAAATATTAATAGTAGTTTTAATAATTTTCCTCATTCCAATGTATAATCCCATATGAAATTCATGACAGAGACCTCCGGCTTAGAAGAGAATGATCTTGGGAGTCCTACTCATTGCCAGCTCAGGGACAGGCTCCACAGGCTGCCTAGTGCCAAGCCAGGAACATTGCCTAGCACTGGGCAGAAAGGATGAGTGTTAACAGTGTACCTAGTTATGCTTGTACCCTCCAGAAAGATCATTCATCTCTTGCAAATCACATTTGCAATTTGTCTGTTATGAGCAAAGGCAAAAAAAAAAAAAAAAAAACTAACAGCATGTGCTCACCATGGGAACAGTATAGTGTGATAGGGAAACTGAGGCCATAATATTGTTAGTAGTTGAAGGAAACAAAGACACAATTTGTTGAAAACGATGTTAGATATCAGGAAAGCTAAACAATAGGAAAGCAAGATATTGTACTTGCATTCTCGATGTCAAGTGTGCAACATTTTTTATGATATTTAGTCTTCTGTCTCAATCTACGGGTAATGGGAAATATGAATTATGACAGAGGCTTCTGTTTTACAAAGGATCAAGACAATTTAATTCATTCCATTGGACTCCAGGTGATTTCTGCCTATTAAAGAAGAACATAGAATGTTGACATCTTAATGTCCCTTACTGACTCTGACATTCTCTGAAGGTCATGTCTTTTCACTTACACTGAGGTCAAGGGCTGTGGATATGACAGTTATCTGTTTAAAAAAAAAAAGTGCTGAAGGCATTGTGGAGAGATCGTCATCTTTACATGCTGAGGGCTTTCTTATTGATAACACTAAAACTGTTTGACGCCAATACTCATCCAGTAACTGTTGAAATTGTCAGGCTTTGGCCTATGTAGGCTGAGGCAAGTAAGTGCAAAGTACAGAAGCTTCAGATTTCTGGGTCTGGTGAGAAGGGGGTGAATGTTGAGATCCATCTTCATTCGGCAGCAGGATTTCAATAGGAAACTCCTCCATGTGTGTGCTGAGAGAGCTCACAGGATGCGTTAAGATAGAAGTCTTAGCAGACAGTTGTCAATGAGGGCAGAAGGCAAAGGAGCCAGGCACACAGAGGTAAGGAAGCCTTGCAAAGAGCAGTTTAGCACAAGGAGGCTTAATGAATATTGCTGCCTGTCATGCGCATCGCTGCATAGGAGCCCATGAACAGAACCACCAAACACATAGTTTGCAGTTTGCATCACATCCACATTTGCAAATGTGCTAAATTAAAGTACTACTGTAGCGGCCCCGAGGAGAGATGTTTTTATTTTGTTTTGTGTTGCTTTCACTCTCTATTGGTCAATATTTAGGGAAAGAAAGGCCGAAGAAATTTGAGACACCACCTTGTTTTTAACTCGGATTGAATTCAAAGTCTAGGGATACAGTGTAAAAAAAAAAAAAAAACAAAGAAGGGAGAAGAAAAAGGGAAAGGCATTTCTATCATCAAACATGAAATACTATTGTGAAATCACAGATCCTAAAAATACTTCAAGGGAGAATATTTCAACCATCTTCTAACACTGGAGTTTCAAGAAGGGAAATCCCATCTTGTCTCATAATATTCTCACACTAAAGGAAGCTGAAATTATGGATGTACTTTACCCCTAAAGTATCACCCTGATAATTAGCTCAGTTGATTTTGCAGTGATTATGTAGGGTACAATACCTTCCTGAGATGTATAACCTACCTCTCATTTATTAGTTGCTCTTTCTGTACTACAAAATAAGTAAAGTAGCACTGTATGAATAGACTCCAGATAAACAAAAATTAAATGTGAGCACCGAAGAGCACTGGCATATTAACTGCCACTTTCAAAACTAATGTCTCAGTCATTCAGCACGTTTATTGATTGCTTACATTGTATATTCTCTGGCTGGGAGCGCCAAAATAGTACCTAGTGATCAATTGTTTCAGAGCAAGGTGGCGATGGGGGGTTTAGAACATATGTTCAGAGGCCACATCCTGAGCCATTTCCACTCCTGCTTGTCCCTCTTGGCCTCCCTTGGCTACAGCCGGCAGCTGAAGTTTGAG